TATAAAGTCTGTGTGTATAGGAAAACCCATCATATCTATATAATATTATAGCTATTAGCCCATAAATTGGAACCTCTTTAAATCCAGTTTAGGATGCTTACTCGGAGTGAAATTAAGACCAGCCTAGAAAATCTATCACCGTAGTTACACAAGTTGTGTTTCCATTGACCTAAGGTTTTGCTCACAGAATTATTAAAAGCTAAATGTCTTGCACGCTGACAAAGAAAACTGCAAACTGCTTCATTTTGTAATGTAACTAGCACTTGAATCATAAAATCACATTTCAGATGCTGAAAGGTTTTTATTAACACTGGCCCACAGGCTTAATATTTCCAAAAACCTGACTACTACAGAAACGAACTGTTTTAAGACCACACTGAGGAGTTTCACTCTGAACTGGCTTATTGGCACAGATGATAGTGGCTGTGTTTATGCAAATCATAGCTAAATTAGTGTGAACGTTGCTAACACCAGCACAGAATTCTGACTTTGCTGGTTTATGGTTAGAAAAGATGAGGTTCAGATGAACTAATATTCAGCTATCAGCAAAACTGCAGAGTCCAGGACAGACACAGGCAATTTAAAGATAGCTATGTAAAGTTAGTTTTACTGCTAGCTAGTTCTGAAAAGTCAGTACAGCATTACCTCGTGAAATTTCTTGGCCTTTCATCTGTATATTTAAATTTCACACTTAGTAACACTTTTTTGGTTCAATCTTGGAAACTACTCTCTTGTACTCTCTCAGGCTGGAGAACAGAAGAACTCCCTAATAGTCAGAAATAACAGCATTATTTTTCTTCATTTCTGAGCAGATTGATACAGCTAGATTGCTGGCAAGCACTGGTGACATGTACCCCTCCACTACAGGAAAGCTGCTAATGCTTCTCCATTTTCTTGCTGAAAAAATAGAGGGTTTTTTACCTCTTAATGTGAAATACTTCTGGAGAGAAGACACTCTTGTTGTACTTTGCCCTAACTATTTGAGGTCAGAGCTATAACCACCACAGGGTTTACTTTGACTCGTTGTACTAAGATAAATACTGAAGTCTGTCCCCACTAGAGATTTTGATTAATATAGTGATTAAAACATAACCCCTTCATTGTAAAAAATACCTTTTGCAGTGAAGGAATATGTATGGTTTTCTTACATTCTTTATCTGAATAATCTTTGGTGAAAAAATAAAAAATAAGAAGCAGTTGTATTTTTCTAAATGGCATAGAAGGTCAGCAATACTTGCAGCTAGTTAGATCTTTTCATATTTGTTTTGTTTGCTCAGAAATACTTGCACACACAAGTGCACAGAGGGTGGAAGTCTCAATTCCCAAATGTATTTATTCTTAAAAGAAGGTAAGCTAAAGTCTAGCATCAAATAATTCCTTTATGGTAACATAGCTCCATGCTCAGCAACAGTTCCGGATCTTTGCAATAAATGTAATCAGAACAAAACAACAGGAAAAAATCAGCACAAAGATCATGGGAGCCCCAATACAAAGATGTTTCTTAGAAGTCTTAGGTTCACATCTTGGTTGTGTGAACCAAACTCTTGGCTTTTAGAGATGTAGAGATGCAACCCTGAAAGCTAAAATTTGCATGAAAGTTTATTGCAAGGGTGAGAAGGAACTATCAAGACAAAACCTGCAGCCTCTTTCGGTAAAGCCCATACTCAGTTTAAGAAACACACAGAGATACACTCATTTACATTCCTCAGTTTGGAGAACTTGAACATTTGCAGAAGTCTTTCTCTGAATCACACCAATGATGCTTTAGGAACGATAATTGAGATGTGCTACAAAAGGGCACTTTTTCTTCTTGTTTCTCATATTAAAACCCCTGACTCTATTTAAATATCAAAGTGCTTGTCACTTTTCCCACAGCCCAAGATAACTTGTCTCTGGCTTCTTGCCATCCTGGCTCCTTCTTGTCATAAGCTATACTAACCCTTTAGCTTTTGTGACTGCTCTGTAATAGTATTAAACTGAGTAAAATGAAAAGTAAAATACAATTAAAATATTCTAAAAAGCAGTCTTTTGAGAAAGGACAAGATACATTCTTCAGCCACACTTGCATTGATTAAAAACTATGAATATGATTTTTCTAAGTGCTTGCAATAAAATCTATGCTTTCACTTTGCCTCATTCTAAATCTGTTGGTAATTGCATTTCAGTTTGTTTCTCCTGTAATCTAAAATGTCATTTTACACTCTTAAGTTAGAAGTATGTCTTTCCAAGAGTGTAACTATATCATAGAATCATAGAACAAACAGGTTGGAAAAGACTTCCAAGACCATCAAGTTCAACCCTACCATGGTTATTAGACCATGGCACTAAGTGTCACATCTAGTCTCATCTTAAAAATATCAAAGAATTTATGGAATAAGACTTTTTTTCCTTCTATACAATAGTGCATTGACAGGCAGTGAACCAAAAGTTATGAAACAGAATTGGTTTTGAAAGGCTTCCTGCTGCATGATATATTTTGAGATCTATTTTTCCATCTGAAATCACAAAACTATTTATAAATTGGGAATTCTCGTTTTCATTTGGCTCACAGGCTTTTCAGTCTTTTTCACAGGTGCACTTAACATTGACAACAGGAAGATAAGAGATGTAAAAGAGTAAACATATTGGTTTTATTTAGTAGTTCTCAAAAAAGAAAGCAGACACATCTCTATTGCTACTCTTCCATAGCAAAGAAGTAACACATTTGTCTTGTGATTTTTTCACTATTTGATTTTCAGTACACCCTTTAATGTTTTATTTGTCATCTTTCACCAATTGAAGGGAAAGGAATCACTCTTGCTGTCAAAAAAGCACTAAGCAGCTGTCACCTTTACTTACAGCTCAGATGAAAACCTGACTCTACTGAATTTCCAAGTGAGCTTTCTGTGCAGAGTGCCATGAGCCAGTGAGTACAAAGAGTAGAAAAAAAAAATCCTACATGGATTTCATGAGTGTTACTCTAGAGGCTGCAGGTGCTCTTAGTACCTAATACGAAACTAAAATACATCCGTTCACTAAATGTTTCAGAAATGAGGCAAGCAGAGAGGCCTAACATTTCTCTTTCTAGATCAGAAGCTTCAGGACTGATGTAAATTGCAATAAGACTGGATTGTTTTGCTTGAAGAATCCTTATTGGGGTTTTGCTTCAGTCCACCTGTATGTCCATTTGTCTGTTGTAGTTTAAATACAGCTCTCCCCAAAATAAAAGTAAAACCATGTTTTTCTGACAGGGATATTTGTGTAACAGAACTATATTTTTACAGATTATGCATTTGAAACCTTTGCTGACAGTTGATGTTTTAAAATCATTCTGCAGCAAAGTTGCTCTTGCAGAGAATCCATGTGATCTCCACTGATTTGAACTGTTCTGGAATCCTGAAATTCAAGGGAAACAACTTATAAAATGTAAGGGGACTCTAATTCTAAACCTCTAAAGAGAGATTCCTTTCTCTCTGCATTGATGGCATTTTCAAATTCAACCACAAGAGACAGACAGAGACTGTGGCTGCAGTGAGGGAAGGACATAAAGTTGCCCTAAACAAGAAGAAAATGTAAACAGAGTTAACTAAACCCAAATAGATGCAATAATGGGAGAGGTGAAGTACATTGAAATGGTACATTGTGGTTTCAGCAGTTTAAGCAAGCACGTTTTACTGATGGTAGTGTTCCACAAATGCATAAAATTTGCCTTCAGCCAGACCATGAATGCTGACACTGTTTTGCGTGGTGCAGCATCTACGCATGCATTTTTAATCTCCTTCTTATCAAGATGTATTCTCAGAAAAAGCAAGTTTAGGAGAAAATATGTTTGTGATTAGCCCTAACACAAAAAGAAATGCAGGATGTACTCAACATCTTTACAACCAGTGTGATCGATTTAATGGAAATTTACACCTATACTTCTACCTCTACATCTTGCAGGAACTGAAACTCACTAGCTTTTCTTTTTAGTAGAAGAGGACTTGTTACTTCTTTAGCCTGGTCCCTGCAGCCTGTAAACCAGTCCAAACAAGTGCAATCAGTCACTGGTTCTCATGGGGTTTTTTCCTTATATTCTGTTTGTATTATAAATACACCAAGAATAATTGACTGCATGTTCTCCTTTTCCTAAGTTAAAAACAAAGTAAAAAGATTAAAAATCCGGCACTTAATTGGAATCTTTAGTGGGGGAAAAAAAGTCAGAAAATTCTGTGTACTACAAAGATCAAGGTCATGACATCTAGAGTAGACAGGATGGACTTAGCTCACGGAGATTCTATGGGCTAGTGTTCTCATGCAGATATCAATTTAGTTTCAATTTGTGATATGTGATTTTCTTTACATTACAGTAACACAAGAGGTGTGGTAACATTCAGACTGCAGAGAGGTCTGGACAGCTGGGATTTATGGGCTGAGGTCAGCGTTTCAATAAGGTGAAGTGTGGGTGGTGGGCTGAAACAGGCTCCTCAGGGAAGAGGTCAGAGCACCAAGCCTGACAGAGTGCAAGAAGTATTTGGTGTGATTCTTAGGAATATCCTGTGCAGAGTCAAGAGCTGGATTTAAGGATCCTTGTGGGTCCCTTCCGACTGAATATTCTGTGAAGTGCCAGGTTCTGTCATCCTTGGAAGTCACCATTCCTGGAAGTGTTTAAAAAATGAATGGACACTGCACTGAGTGCTATGGTTTAATAGACATGGTAGTATTTGATCCATATTGGAGTTGATCATCTTGGAGGTCTTTTCCAGCCTCAATGTTTCTATGATTCAATGCTTTTAAGTATCAGAAAGCCATTCAGCAGGGAAAAAGAAGCTGTTCAAAGATAGGAAAAAGAGAGACTGGTAAAATATTGCCATGATTAGGAGGGAGGAGAGTTTTAAGAAGGTAATTTTAATGGATTCAGTACATTCAGAAAAAATCCATCAAACTACTTAGGAATTTTTATGAGTTGATGAATAGAAGAATTATGTTATCAATTTCAGTTGTGAGATACTGTTTTTTAACTTGACATTTGTCCTCTAGGTTTTCAAGCCAATTGTTCATGATATGACCCAGCTGGCTTACAGAGATCAACAACCCCCTTGTGAACAATGGTTAAAAACGGATCATCTCAACTGGATGTTTTGACTCTGGCAATGCTCCAGAATAAAACTATCTCTATCACCCTCCCAGTTGTGTATACAATGGTGGCTCTGATCAGCATCCCTGGCAACTTGTTCTCCCTTTGGGTGCTCTGCTGGCACATCAAACCCAAAACACCTTCTGTTATCTTCATGATCAACCTAAGCATCACGGATCTCATGCTGGCAAGCTGCTTTCCCTTTCAGATTTATTATCACATCCAAAGCAATCACTGGGTCTTTGGCAAGACACTTTGCAGCCTTGTGACTGTGATGTTCTACTCCAACATGTATTCTTCCATACTGACCATGACCTTTATCAGCATCGAACGATACTTGGGTGTTGTATACCCCATGAAGTTGGTCAAGTGGAGAAGAAAAAGATATGCCTTGGCTGCCTGCCTAGGGATGTGGTTTTTCTTGCTACTAGCTTTCTACCCACTAGAAAGCACAGATCTGACCTATGAAGTGAAAGAATTGGGGATTGTAACCTGTTTTGATGTCCTAAAATGGGATATGCTGCCCAACTTTGCAGCCTGGGTAGCCTTTCTCCTCACCCTATTTGTCGTGCTCTTCCTAATCCCTTTTGTTGTAACAGTTGGATGCTACATTGGCATCATTCGGAAGCTAATTCAGACATCAAATAGATATGCTAACAAGCAGAAGACGAGATCCATATACCTGGCAGTGATTGTCCTTCTGGTATTCGTCACTTGCTTTGCCCCCAATAACTTTATTCTATTAGGGCATATGATCAGCCGCCTATTTTATAGCAAGAGTTTGTACCCTGCCTACAAGCTCACCTTGTGCCTCAGTTGCCTCAACAACTGCATAGACCCCTTCATTTATTATTTTGCATCCAAAGAATTTTACCAGAAATTCATGCAAGTGTTTCGTCCTAATGTACTGCTCAGTGACAGCTTTGAAAACAGAAGGGGAAGTTTATTCTCTGGCAGGACCATGTCAGCCAGGTCAATGTCAAGTGGACCTATGGATGAGTTAGAGGGAGCAAGAGCCTATTTGCAAGGGCAGGAAAGCATTTTTTAGCCTTAGACATCCCTGAAGCCACCAGTGAGATTAATGAGCAGACACAGAAAACATTTCCATTTGAATGGCTACCCTCAAAATACCTTGCTCCAGCGACAGAACTCAAGCCATGCTTATATTGCATATCCCACTTCAATATTCTTCGGTAAAAAATGGAAGTGTTGAAGGAACTGAGTTTATTCAAGAAGGCACTGAAGCAAACCAAACATTGATAATTAGGGGTTGGCCTGGAAATAGTCCTGCTGCATAAAACCAAGGGAAAAGTTTAGAACAAAAATTACTTTCAGGTTCTATGACAGTGTTTAACCAAAAACTTGTGATTCTTGGTGAATGTGAAATATTACTGTACATGAATTAGCGCATACACTGAAGCTGGTTCTGGGGTAAGGGAGTTATTTTTCTAAGCAACATGCTAGGTTTTGGATTTGTGGGGGTTTTTTATGTATTGCTTTCTCTCTTCTTGTATTTCTATATAAGAATGAATACAACTAGCATGTAATTCTACTATTAATGCATAATGCATAGCCACTGTGAATTCACCACAACACTCACCCCACTGTTTATCAGAACCAAACCTCATTGACCTTTGAAAAGGTTAGTTTGACTCATGTTATTTATTTCAATTTTATGCAGCAAAATATCTCATACAATGAAAACAAAGCTAACAATGTTTGTGACTATTTCAGCTGCTGAGAGGTATATATTTTCATTTCTTGAAGTTATTAATTTCTCAAGATTGTGGGGAGCAGTATATTTAAGAAAACAGATTTTCTCACATTAACCTAACAGTACCAGTGCTGCATGTATGGGGTTGGTATCAACAGGTCATTTTCACAATTCACTCTAGGCTATATGCAGAAGGACCATCACCCTCAACAGAAAATTTAGCTTTATGTAGTGCATGGGCAGTGAGTTTATCTTCCTTACAGAGATGATGTGGACTATTCACCACATTTTCAGCTGGATAAATGAGAATTCAGCCACACACTGGAGAGTGATTCTCTGCCAGCCGAAACCAGATGAAAACCTGTCCTTATGTCCAGATGTCAGAAATGGACTTCTTTTAGGCAGACAAACAGAAAGAAGAAGAGAAAAATGAAAGCAAGGCTTGAGAATGGGAGCTCTACCAGACACCTTGGAAATAGGTTATGGGATTGTGAACTCCTGTGTTTGGAACCCTTCTCTGAAATATCTTTCTCCAGCTTGTTTGCATATACCGTGTCATGTTTAATTCTTCTCACATCTCAACATCTGCCTGTGTGCTTGAAAAGATAACAGGTACAGAACACGCACTGGGGACCATTTCCTGTGGTATTTACAGCTTTTTACCTACCTTTGGACCTGATTGACAGTGAAGAGCAAAAAAACACCTGAGAGCACCAGACTAGTTTCCCCTCACAAGTGAGACAAAGCTGCAGCTCCATCCAGTGCTGAGTAGGAGGCTATCTTCAGCATCATGGATAGTGGCTTCAGACAGCACAAGCTATACTGATTCTTGAGCTCCTGTGCCTAAGTAATAGACAACACTCAAGGCCCTGAAAATCTGTCATTTTTTTCTTTTAGTATGACATGATGAAAACACAATTTTCCATCACTAGTCACAATGGTTTTCTTTGTGATAGAGTCTGGAAAACCACAAAATGCACTGAGATATTTTTATGCCCTCTCTCTGCTAAGGTATCATCAGTTTGTGGAGCAGAATAAATGTGAGTGGACCTAATACTACCATTCATAAGCCAATGTGAATAGCCAATGTTTTGTGGCATTTCACAGTGTTGGAGTTAATTGATCTGCACATTTTCTGCCTACAAGGCCAACTGTAGTGATACATAACTCGCCTTAACCTGCCCACCAATCTGCCTGGAAGCTACCCTTCACCATCTGCTGTCACAGAATTCTAGCTTTCTCACTACCTAAAGTGCTTTGTGCTGTGGCAGAAACCTTTTTGGAGGTTACACTGAAATCTCTCCCTTTTTTTTTCAGCATGCAAGCATTTTTGCAATGCAAACCACTTCTTCTCCTACCTCTAATGCAAACTTTCACTGTTTTATCTTGAATCTGGTTCTTGAGTGCCTCTAGTCCCTCCTAAAATGTGCTGCAATGTGCCTGAACTGTAACTGACATCAAATCAAGTCTAAAGGGCAGCAACCCTTCACTTTGGACACCAATTGTTTTATTTTGAACAATACGGAATTGCTCCATTTGCAAGAGAGAAAAGATACAACTGACTGAAAACGTTCTTCTCTCCAGCCTCATGCAGCTCTTCATAGCCTTTTATTCACCTCTCCTCTGATAATGTCTAAAAAGAAGCAAAAAGGAGGCCTCATTCAGGTATTTCTTCATGCCATTTCAATAACTAGCCTCTAGTTAGCTCAGATTAGGCAAAATTCCCATTTGGGTCAATGGGACTGTTCCTTGAAAACGGAGTATAAGAATGAACCCAACGGCAGCAATTGTCTGAGTCTGATGGTGCACACTGTGAAGTCTTGGAGGGTTTTTATTAGAAAGGAAGAGAATAAATTCTTTTTAAAAGTGGCCCAACATACTGTTCTTTGATTCTGGAAACATGTTCTTCTGGGGCATCATCAGAATAATGTCTTCTACCATCCTTGGTCAATAGGTGTGAGTTTACATCCATATATATATATAAATGTAGATTGTAATTTGTGAGGTTATTGAAAAGTTCATGTCTACATGTCTATATATCGTCTTCGTTTTGGGGAATGAAGGCCCTGGAAACAATGCTTACTTGTTTGTATCTGTAGTTAATGTAATTTCACTGAGAATTTTACTGAATTAATGTAATTTTTCTGAGAAGACAAGAATGTAAAGGCTTCTGTTTGTTTTGGGGTTCGGAGTTTTTGTATTGTCTTGTTGGGGTTTTTTTATTATTGTCTAGAAATTTAATCTATGAATATGCTTGAACATTTTTGTATATATTATAATAATAATAATAAAATAAAAGGGACACAATTTAAGATTATTTTCCTTGCTTTTATGTGCCATGTGTGAGAAAATTCCAAACACAGAAGATGACAGGGAAGCCCAGTTGTGAAATAAAATTAATCCATTGTGATTGTGGGCTTTTTTGGATTTCCATATAATTTTTAATCTCTTATTTTTCCCATGCATTTTGAACATTGTTTGGGTTTTTTTTCTTTGCATAGCTGTTTGGGGTTTTTAATACACATATATATCTTAGAAGTTGGCATTGTCATAGCTCCTTCACACGAATTTTAAAAGCAGCAATACTTGAATCCTTCTCCTTGCCCAATATACATATATACCAAATACATATATTTTTAAATTTCAATGCATTTCTGACAGGGCCTGGCAGTCAGACACTGTCCCACCCCCAGCCTGGAGCAGTGCACTGGGGGAAACTGGACAAGAACAGTCAGGGTTGGTAGTCACAGAATCATGAAATATATTGAGTTGGAAGGGACCCACAAGGATCATTAAGTCTAACTCCTGGCCCTGCACAGAACAGCCCCAAGAATTGCACCATGTGCCTTGAGAGCTTTCTCCAACTGCTTCTTGAACTCTATCAGGCTTGGTGCTCTGACAATTTCCCTGGGAAGCCTGTTCCAGTGCCCAATCACCCTCTGGGTGAAGAATCTTTTCCTAATATCTAACCTAAATCTACTCTGACATATCTTCATGCTGTTCCCTTGGGTCCTGTCACTGGTCATCAGAGAGAAGAGATCAGTGCCTGCCCTTTCCACTTCCCTTCATGAGGAAGTTGTAGACTGCTACGAGTTCTTCCCTTCATCTCCTCTTCTCTAGGCTGAACGAGCCAAATGACCTCAGCAGCTCCTCATATGCCTTCTCTCTAGGGCATAGCTTTGTAATACTGGATACTGAGTGCTAAGGAAAACGATTATCAAAGCCTGACAGCCAAACATCCTCCAGCCATGTACTGACAGGACAAGGGATAGTGGTGTTGAACTGAAAGAGAGTAGGTTTAGATCAGATATCAAGAAGGATATTTACTGTGAGGGCGGTGAGGCACCGGAACAGGCTGCCCAGAGAAGATGTGGATGCCTCATCCCTGGCAGTGTTCAAGGCCACATTGGATGGGGCTCTGAGCAACCTGGTTTAGTGGCAGGTGTCCCTGTCCATGGCAAGAGGGTTGGAACTAGACCATCTTTAATGTCCCTTCCAACCCAAAGCTTTCTATGATCCTGTGATTTTTTCAGGCCTCAGAAATTGCCCTAAATGTCAGGGGATCCTATGGAATTTAAAAATTTCAGGGTGGTATATGAAACCTGATCTTGGCACCTTCTCTAGAGAAAAATAGCCTATCAAGTACAGACTTTTTTTTCTTTGTATCAACTATCTGTTGGATTCTTCCAGTATGACTCCCAACACCATTTTGTGACTGCCACTGTTTCACCTGTTTCTACTCCTTGGCCATGACTCTGCATTCATAGCTTGATGACTTCCTGAAGATAGCACAATAAAGTAACATCTGCCTGATTATCACCCTGACATTATCAAGACCCTCACTCCAAGATATCAATCTGGGCAACTTGGTGCTGTGCCCACTTCCTGAGGAGCCTGTTCCAGTGCCCAACTACCCTCTGGGTGAAGAACGTTTTGCTAATGTCTAACCTAAATCTCCTCTGCTGCAGCTTTATGCCATTCCCTTGGGTCCTGTCATTGGCCATTAGAGAGAAGAGATCAGTGCCTGTTCCTCCACTTCCCCTCATGAGGAAGCTGTAGACTGCTATAAAGTCACTCCTTAGTCTCCTCTTCTCCAGGCTGAACAGACCAAGGGACATCAGCTGCTCCTCCTATAGCCCAAAGGTGGGCAGGATAGCACAAATATTTGCTTGTGAAATTCAGTGTTGGCAAGTGTGAAGTGATGCACATGGGGAAATCCAGACAGAGTTTTATGTACAAAATTATGTTGCTCATCAGTGACCACTATGAATCATAATACCTAATTCCATGCATAAGCTCAGCATTGTAGCAAATCCATGGTTCACCCATACCTTGTTTACTTTGTGCACTTCTGGCCTTATCATCACAGATCGGATCTACAAGAACTGGAAAAGAACAAGAGAAGGGCACGTGGGATGATCCAAGAAATTAATTTGAAATCTTACA